TCTAAAATAATAAACTGTTCCTCTAAGAAGTAAAGTGTTCTTTTACACAGGAGTTAGTAGATTATCTAGGCTTTGTAATCAGTAGAGGAGAGGTCTGTATGAATCTAGTAAAGGTAACTATAGTTCAGAACTGGTCACAACCTTAGAACCTGAAACAGGTCTAAGTATTCTTTAAGTTTGTAAACTACTACTAACACTTTATTTAAGACTTTAGTACTATTGCCCAGCCTCTTCACAATCTTACTAGTAAAGATGTTTCTTAGTAATAGGGTGATTAGTAGTAATCTGTGTTTGAGTCCCTTAAGTAGGCTATTACTAGTAAGCCTGTATTAGTAGTTCTAATAGTTGTAGACACATTCTGAGTCAAAGCTAACTCTTCTAACTTTACAAATAGAGTAGTACTGTCTTAGTTTATTGACAGAAAGTAGTATCTGATAGTGTTCTAATCAGAATCCCTCTCTGTAACAGAACAAAACTACCCTATCTATAATAAGGAACTCCTTATAATTGTCTGTTTCCTAGAGGAGTAGTGTTAATATCTCCTTAGTACTGTACAAAAGTTTGAGATTTAGAGTAATTACCTTAATCTCTAGTACTTCTAGGTGCCTTAGAAGCTCAACTACTACTAGGCCTACTAAATGTTAGAACTGTAGAACTATAACTTTGTACTGACTTACAAACCTAGAATACAAATAATGAAAGCTGATTTACTCTTAAGACAAGTAGGTTATAAAAGGGGGGAGAATAATAACAAAAATCTTATTCTTCTAAACAATTCCTGTTTTGTATCTAAGACAATCTAAGAGATCTGACTCAAATCTGAGAATGTTGACTTTGTTACCTGTATACAGTAAGCTCTAAGATACACACAGGACTAGGTCATAGTAAAGTAGCTAGAGAAGTAGGCTAGAGACTAGGAGGAGGATAAGAATAGACAGGTTTACTAAGAAGGCTAACTGTATGTTCTAAAGGATTAGAAGCTGTAGGAGGACATTGTCTGAGCTTATTATAACAATCTGACTGTAGAACATTTAAACTAACACAAAATACAGGAACTCATTACTTAGAACTACTAGTAGTTAGGAATGTAGAGGGAAATCCTAAAGTATGTAACTAGTTATAATATGTACTAACAGACTAAGACTTACTAGACAAGAGTTTGGGCTCCCTTACATCTGTATTAGATCCTGGATCACTCTTAGAAAGAAGTCTTAGTAGACCTGATTAGTAAGCTACCTGAGTCTTAGGGTTACAACACTATCTGTATGATTGTTGACTAATTCTCTAAGTAAGTCTATACAGTTCTGACCTAAACAGAACTCACTTCTGAAAGTATAGTACACATTTATCAGGATTATGTTTTCTAGTTGTATAGACTCTCTCAGAAGCTTATTCACAATTGTGGACTGTAATTTGAGTCAAAATTCATACAGGACTTGTACACACTTCTTAGAATTTAAGAGAATCCTTCTACTATATATTACTTACAGACTAATAGTTAAACTGAGTAAGTCAATCAGGAGATTAAGCTCTATCTCTGAATGTTCATTAATTATTAGTAGTCAGATTGGTCTAAATGGTTAGCTCTGACAGAATTTGTACACAATAACTAGTAACACTCTGTAACAGGACAGTCTCTATTCTTCCTTAATTATAAGAGACATTTGTACTAGGGGACAGTTCTGAACTAGAATAGTAGTTCTGAATCTGTAACAGACTTTGTAGAACAGATGTACAAGACTAGAGAGGACACATAAGCTCTTTTAGAGAAGGTAGTACAGGTTATAAAGTAGAACTATAATTAGAAGAGATCTGTAGCTAAGAATTACTAGCCTAGTAACTAAGTTATACTAGAAGCTACTAATCTGACTATAGATTACTTAATAAAGAAGTTGGACAACAAGTACTTTAGACCCTTTATTATTAAAAAGAAGGTTAGTGCCTCTGTCTACAAACTCTAACTTCTAGCAACATAAAAGTGTATACACCTAGTGTTTAACAAGGTTCTGTTGTCTTAATACTATAATCTAAGTTTTCCTTTGTAACAAAGACCCTTACTACCTTTATCAGAACTCATTAGTTCTGAACTAGAATACAAAGTAGAGTATATAGTAAATACTAAGCTAGTGTACAGAAAACTCAAGTTCCTTGTTTACTAGAAAGGGTACCTAGTTGAAGAACACACTTAGGAACCTACTGAGAATCTTACTCATACTATTAAAGTAATCTGAGACTTCTATTGACTTTATCTGAGTACTCTGTACCAACTCTGCCTTACAGATTTCTAAACCTTACTGTTCTAACTTATATCTAAGCTACTAACTAAGTCTAATGTTTACTAATTAGGACAATTAGTTTTAGAGAGAGGGTAATGTTATAGTTCTCTACTCTTACACCTTCAGTTCTAAGGGTTCTACACTCTTTCATACTAGAACTCAGGACTTCCATCCTTTAGAGACACTGTTTATAAACTATATATAGACTGACTCTTACTACTACCCCTCCTTACTTTATTATTCTGTTCCTTTGACCACCCCTTCATTCTTTGTTCATTCTATAGTCTCTTACCCTTTGTCTATCCCTTCATTCCTTATACCTTTATCTTTAACCTTCCTTTCTTTCATTCTTTATAACTCATTATTCTTAGTAGCTCACTATTCCCTGAGTACTCTTATATAGTTTAGTATATATAAGTGTACAAGATTAGACTAGTCTAGTAGTCTTAATCTTGTCTACTCTAGATAGTCCTGTACTCTTAGACTTACTCTATATACTCTACTCTTGTCTCAATCTCTCTCTCTGTCTGTTCTGCAAGTTCTGACTATGTTCTAGTACTTACATTCTATATTTCTGTTGTGTAGGATAGTTGTAGCCTGAGTCCTCTTACTAAGCCTTTAGGTCCCCTCTATACTGTTACTGACAGATTTAGCAAGTAACAATAAGAAAGAAAAGATAGATACATAGTAATAGTGTGTAGTGAGTGTGAGTAGTGTATGTAGGTTAAGATTCAGAGTGTTAAACAAGTTGATTCAGACTGTAGATAAAACTGTGTCTGTGTATGTATACTCTATAGTTTATCTACAGTGTCTAATAGGAGGTGTAGTAAACTGAGTCATTAATTATAAAGTGTATCTCTAGAATGTTCTAGCTTGAAAGGTGAAGGTGAAGTAGAAGGCAGACAGACTTGGCTGAGAGGGGAGTAGAGGATCACTACTTCTGTTAGAAATAGTGTTATATACAGTACTAGGGAAAGTAAACACACACAGTATGAACCTATTAAGAGTAATACTAAGTATAGGACAGGTAGGGAAGAATGTGTATGTTAGATTAGAGAGAGGATTGTACTTTAAGAGTAGTTATACATGAACATTGTTACAAGTGTGTGCTCATTAAGTATTACTTGTACTATAGAGTAGAGAGAAGTATACAAATTATTAGTAAAGTTGTTCAGTATTGGTTAAAAATGCAGATGTACAAATGTAAATGTAAAAAGAAGACAAACATAATAAAAAGGAGGTCAATGAAGGAGCAGTAATGTAAGAGGCAGAAAGGGAGACAAGAAGTTGAGAGGAGAAGGATGAGCAACTATTGTACAAGCTATTATAAAGTAGACTAGCTACTTACACTTTATACTGAAGGACTGTATAGCCAGCTAGGTTGTGTTGTCACAGGATCTAAGGTTTAGTGTAGACAATACAGTAGCAAATTAGAGAGACAAATGTAGTAATGTTTATTGTCTAGGTGGTTACAGCTAGTGTGCCTGCTAGAGGATGCTTGTAGACAGAGGACTTGACTAGAGAGAACAGAAGTAACAATATAGAGTTAGGGGAGGAGGGTTGGGGAGATAGTGGAGGTAGGAGGAAAAGGAGTGACAAGAGCAAGTGTGTCATTATATGCACTCAATCTTCAGTACTCGATTATGTAATCACTTTGATATATTGTTTAAAAGTAAACCAAA